GGGTACCATACTAAGTAGCCAGATTACTGAAGAGTGACCCTCCAGCAACCTTTTCTCAAATAGCTTAAGGCTCATAGCGTACAACACGCGTTATCCTTATTACTGTGTTTTTGAATTGTTTTGAGATGAGAAAAGAAAGACGCTCTAAAAAGCCTATTGTTGAAAGGGAAACTAACCTAATGTTATCATGCATGGGTCAAAACCTAATGTCTTTCATACATTCCTCTTGTACAGAGGGAATCAGAGATCCTATGGGATAAACAGCAAAAGACAGCAAGCAATTACAGTAAATAGTAAAATGCATGCAATGCAGCAATATAAGAGAGGCAAGGGAGAAGACAACAGGCAAGAGGAGACAAGCTCCACCTCAAACCTAGAGGTAATCAACACAAGCAAACAAACAATACAGAGAAAAACAAAAGACACAGAGGAGGCAGCCCAAGCAGCAGCAACTAACTCCTACAGCAAACAGCAACAGCAAGCTCTAAATAGCAAAGTTGAAAAGACAGCAAAATTAACATCAAGACTTCATCTTCAAGCAAGCTTCTATCTTCAATCCTCATCAATATTCAAGCTCCAACAAGCACGCTCCAAGAGGAGGATTAAACATCAAGATCAAGTTATAATGTTAAGGAACTTAATGACAACCAAAGGAAATCACTAAGAACTCAACATTGCAAATGAAAGGTGTCCTCAAAGTTCTACTCACTTGGGCATACCACTCATCCCTCCTAAGGAGAGATGGAGCTTCCCAAGGAGGACTTTATGTCATTGGATAGAATAGAGGCAAACAATGCACTCCATGTTTGAAGAAAGAATGAAAACTAGGTCTAAGGCACTTCCTAAAACCCTAATTTCCTAAGCTGCTAAGAAACTTCCACAAGAGGAAAAGCCTTTAACTCCAAGCTCCAATCTTCAATCCCAAGCATCTTCAATGAATCCAGAAGCTCCACCAAAAAGAACTCAAGCTTAAACCAGCTCCAAAGCAGCCAACCAAACCAAACAATCCAAAGCACTCAAGAGAGGAAACCACAAATACAAGCCACTTGCAAAATACATCTAAAATAGAAAACAAAGTTGCAAAATTCTAATAAAATTCCTAGGGGAACATGAATGTTTGAAAAACATAATGTAAAAAGATTGAAGCCTAAATCAACTTCTAAATTATCTAAACAATTCCTATATTGAGATAGGTCAAAGGAATCCACAAGTTTGGGAGGGTCCTAATATCAATACCGAAAACAGAACCTAATGTTGTTCTAAAAATCCACCAAAAATTCTAAGGGAACATACATTTCTACCCTAACACATACTAAAAAATCAAAGCCAAACTCAACACCAATTGGAAGAACAAAATTCAGCAAAACAGATGGAGAATTACGCAAAATTCAAAGAATTAAACAAAAAGAGAAAAATCAAATTAAATTGAAAAATGCATGAAAATGCGTTTTATTGATTTCATAAAATCAAAAATTCTCTCAAGATCATGGAGGTATTTTTAAAATAATTTTATGATCGAGAATGAATTTAATATGATTTTTGGAAGCAATGAAGCATTTAAAATAAAGCAAAAATGAATAAAAGAAATAAAATGCTGAAATAAAACATGAGCCATTGGATCTGGAGACTGGTCAAGCAATCCAACGCGCTAGAGCTTGCTAGCGCATTAAGTGGAACGACAGTGTTTTGATCTCAGAATTTCCAAATCAACTTTAAGTCCCATGCGTTGGATCTTCAGATCAGTCAAAGGTCCAACCTAGATTTAAGGGTTCAGACATCATCTTCTCCAAAATTCAGGCAGGCCAGGTGGAGATCAGGGATGGTGGTTCGTGGTGGCCGGAGAAGACTCTGGTTGTCTTCTCCGGCGAGGGTCCAGGTTCAGGCAACCAAAAATAACAATCTCTACACCAATTCCACTCAATTTTCAATGTAGATTCCAAATCTCTAATCAAAATGATCTAACTCTTAACAAGTAAGCAAACACGAATCAAAGTTCAGAAATGTCATCCAAATCAACTCTCACCAAATGCAAAATTAAATACATAGAAATCCTCCTCATGTTGCGCTGATCATCCTGATATAAACAACATGCTACAAAACCTCATGAATCAAGAGATTCAAGTCCAAACAGATCTACTATGTCATCTTCAAACATCACCAATTGAGTCCAAATCAAGCCTACAACAATCTATGTCATGTATAGATCCTAACCACAAGTTCAAAACTATCTAACTCATGCTAAATCATGCTGAATTTTGAGAGATGCTAGCCTGGTATAGATCTTGAAATAGAAGCAGTTAGAACTCGTGGCTTGCTTCAAAAATCTCCAGATAGCTTCAATAATCCAATAGGATGAGTTTGCAAACTTTAATTTGGCCTGAACTGGCTCCAATCTGAGAATTCGATTTCAAGTTGCAGCTGAGAAATTTCACTTGCTCTTTCTGGTTTCAGCACGAAATGAAGCTCAAACTTGATCTGAACTTGCTCTAATGAATATATAGAAGAGTTTCATGGGCCTTTGGATCCAAATTGACGCCCAAAATAGTCATTCACATTTTCTGATTTTTGCTTGCAAGTTCATACACCAGTCGTGCCATATAAGCTAATTTCTTGTTCTAGAAGGTTCTAACACCTTGCAAAATCCCTTGTGAATGTTTCTGGACCAACAAGGAGTGTTGAATTGCCTTGGTAATTGATTTTGATATGTGACTTGTTCATGAAGTAACAACATTGAAAGTCATGGAATTATGCCTCAAATCAAAAATTTAAAAGTGCCAAAGTGTTCAAAATGAAATTTCCAATCAGAAAATGTACCCACTTGCTTGGTTTGAGGCATCCAGCACAAAATCACATTTTTCCCTCCTTTCCACATTTGAATTTTCTTCATTTTCAAGCCATTTCAAGTGACTTTTGGATATGAGCCACACCAAACTCTCATGACCACTTGGTTGCACTCAAAACATCATTTTAAGCAAGTTCCATGTTGAAGAAATCTTCATTTGAAGCTTGCAAGTTGGAGATATGGACCTATGATTGAAAATGACATATAATCTCACTTTCCCAAAACACCCCTGACTTGTAAACCTCATAACTTGAGTTCTACAAATATGATGGGGGACTTATAGTACAATTTAGAAAGCTAAGATCATGAGGAACAACTTTCATGTTGACCAAAAGTTCAGGTGAAACCTCCTTCTAGGTCAAAAATAGCCTTGAAGTCAGATGATTTTCACAGACAAATTTCAGAAGCATCTGAGGACCTGTAATTTGTCTGGGCCATAACTTGAGTTATATAAATCCAATGGAGGACTTCTAGTACTCAAATTAAAGGTATTGAGATTCTCTACAAGTTTCATGTTGACCAAAAATCCATTTGAAACTTGTATCTTGACTTATGTGGTCTTGAAGTTAGGCACTAAACAGGGTAATTTGCACTAAAACCCTAATTTAGCACCTTCCCACATTCTTGATTCTTCTTGATTTGATCTTGGCACAACACCACAAATGTCTTATCACATCATTCCATGAACTTCATGACCTTAAAGTAGGCTTGAATGCTTTTCAACTGTATAATTGACCTAGGGTTGATCCAGATGAAACCCTAATTGTCTGCACTTCAACTGTGGCTTTTGCATTTGACACAATGACCTGATTTAGCTCCAAAATGGCTCTCTAGGCACTCCATGAGCTCTATACACATCCTCTTCTCACATTCAATACTTCACAACCCTCTTATGGTCTTCAGTTTATCCTCAAGTTAGGAGAAGATTCATACTCAAACATCTAAACCTTTAGGCACTCAAACTACCTTCTGATGACTTTGACCATTCCTCAATCTTGAGTGAGACCTCTTTTCTAGGATTCTCTTGACAAAAACACACTTGACCCCCTGTTGGATGAATGATATGCCATGATATGCAAATGATAATGCAATGAAACATAAACCAGGTAAAAGATGTTGAGCAAATTTTGGGGTGCAACACTAAGGATAAGATTATCCCTGTTGCAGATGTTTTTAGCAGAAAAGTCAAGACGCCAGTCACGGTACCTGGACTCTGGCTGCTCACATCACATGACGGGAGAAAGGTTTATGTTCCAAATCCTGAAGCTTAAATCTGGAGGAGAAGTGAAGTTTGGAGGGAATCAGAAGGGCAAGATCATTGGCTCTGGTACTATTGGTAATGGTAACCTTCCCTCTATATATAATGTTCTTCTTGTAGAAGGATTAAAGCATAATCTATTGTCCATAAGTCAATTAAGTAACAATGGTTATGATATAATCTTTAATCAACAATATTGTAAAGCTGTTAGTCAGAAGGATGGCTCAATCCTATTTAATGGAAAGAGGAAGAACAACATTTACAAAATAAATCTTTCAGAACTTAAAGTTCAAAATGTTAAATGCCTCTTGTCTGTTAATGATGAGCAATGGGTCTGGCACTGAAGATTGGGGCATATTAATATGAGACGTATATCTCAGAGTAACAAACTCAATCTGGTCAGAGGACTTCCTAAGTTGAAGTTCAACTCAGATGCTCTTTGTGAAGCATGTCAAAAAGGAAAATTTTCAAAATTTTCTTTTAAATCTAAAAATGTTGTTTCAACCTCAAGACCATTAGAATTACTTCACATTGATCTGTTTGGACCAGTGAAAAACAGTTGTCCATGTACCAGTGGAAGATTCTGCAGCTACCGCTGCACCTGCTTCTTTAGGCGGAACTCCAGGTTGAGGAGTTACTCGGAATGCTGCCAAGATATCAGTATCTTTGGTTTGATAGTCAGGAGTATAATAAGTCAATTTATAATCTTTAACACCAGCTTTGAACCCAACCTTTGCTTTAGTTTCTGTTTGTGGTGACATAAATCCCCCCTACAACGCATGAATTAAGAATTGAATTATAGCAACAACAAGGTCTACTCGACATGACTTAAGAGTTAATCAATTTATTGCTTATGTAGCTTATCCCTTAGACCTTTTTGAAGAAGGTTCTGTTACTAACATGTTTACCTCCATTGTAGGTAATGTATTTGGGTTCAAGGCCTTGCGCGCTCTACGTCTGGAAGATTTGCGAATCCCTAATGCTTATGTTAAAACTTTCCAAGGTCCTCCTCACGGAATCCAAGTTGAGAGAGATAAATTGAACAAGTATGGACGTCCCCTATTGGGATGTACTATAAAACCCAAATTGGGTTTATCAGCTAAGAATTATGGTAGAGCAGTTTATGAATGTCTCCGCGGGGGACTTGATTTTACCAAAGATGATGAAAATGTGAACTCCCAACCATTTATGCGTTGGAGAGACCGTTTCTTATTTTGTGCCGAAGCAATTTATAAATCACAGGCCGAAACAGGGGAAATCAAAGGACATTATTTGAATGCTACTGCGGGTACATGTGAAGAAATGCTAAAAAGAGCTGTATTTGCTAGAGAATTGGGCGTTCCTATCGTAATGCATGACTACTTAACAGGTGGATTCACTGCAAATACTACCCTGTCTCACTATTGTCGCGATAATGGTCTACTTCTTCATATCCACCGTGCAATGCATGCAGTTATCGATAGACAAAAAAATCATGGTGTGCACTTTCGTGTATTAGCTAAAGCCTTACGTTTGTCTGGTGGAGATCATATTCACGCTGGTACTGTAGTAGGTAAACTTGAAGGAGAAAGGGAGATTACTTTGGGTTTTGTTGTTTTACTACGTGATGATTATATTGAAAAAGATCGAAGTCGCGGTATTTATTTCACTCAGGATTGGGTTTCTTTACCAGGTGTTATCCCTGTTGCTTCAGGGGGTATTCACGTTTGGCATATGCCTGCTCTGACCGAGATATTTGGAGATGATTCTGTACTCCAATTCGGTGGAGGAACTTTAGGACACCCTTGGGGAAATGCATCTGGTGCCGTAGCGAATCGAGTAGCTCTGGAAGCATGTGTACAAGCTCGGAATGAGGGACGTGATCTTGCTCGCGAGGGTAATGCAATTATCCGTCAAGCTTGCAAATGGAGTCCTGAATTAGCTGCTGCTTGTGAAGTCTGGAAGGAAATCAAATTTGAATTCCCAGCAATGGATACTTTGTAATCCAGTAATAATAATTCGTTCTATTAATTTCCATTAAACTCGGCCCAATCTTTTACTAAAAGGATTGAGCCGAATACTGTACAGAATACTTGTTGTATCTATAAATGAATCCTATGGATCTTTCGGATTGATAGATTTTTTTCTAGTTCATTATTCTTTTTTGATTTGGAATATAATGAATTAAAATAGAAGTATTTTCTATTAATATTGACAACAGTGTATCAAACCAATATAATCCGATCGTGAATAAATGGATCGATTGACTCATGTCAGATAGGTTTTTTACTTCATCAAATGGTGGATTCGTTGTATTTTTTTTTCTTTCATTGTAATTTAATGTCATTCATTGTAATTTAATGTAATATGTAACATAATATGTAACATTTGATTCTATTATTTATAGAATTGCATCTTTTTTTATTGCGATTGGATATAGACATCCTTGTTTGTAATTGGATTAGGGTTGCTAACTCAATGGTAGAGTACTCGGCTTTTAAGTGCGACTCCATTTTTTACACATTTCTATGAACTAATTGGTTCATCCCTACCATCGGTAGGGTTTGTAAGACCACGACTGATCCAGAAAGGAATGAATGGAAAAAGCAGCATGTCGTATCAACGGTGAATTCTAAAAAATTTTCATTCATATTTGATCTGACCAATATTTTTCTTTGAATTGTTGGCTCCGAACAAATGAATTCCGTTGGGTTTAATTAACAAAGGGATAGAGCTTAGCTGCTCCAATTATAGGGAAACAAAAAGCAACGAGCTTTCATTTTTGATTTGAATGATTACCACATCTAATTATACGTTAAAAAAGAATTAGTGCTTGCTGTGGAAAAAGTTTTTCCTACGAATGATGGATTAACGATTTTTGTTATGAGTCCTAATTATTAGCTATTCCCCATTATTTTATGGGGTAGCAATAAATGTGTAGAAGAAAGAGTATATTGATAAAGATCTGGTTTTTTTCAAAAATCAAAAGAGCGATTGGTCCAAAAAATGAAGGATTTCTAACTAGCTTGTTTGTCCTAGAAAAATGAGAAGGAACAAGCGAGGGGAGATAGTCCATTAATGGGTTTTAACTCGTTTTCTAGGTATCGCTTCATATTTGTTTTTTATTTCAATTCGAATATAGA